CAAAACCCCCACCAGCACTGGCAAGGGAGGCCACAGCACATAAATAGAGAGCAAACCCCATCTCATTTTAGCACTGAAGATGTTACATAGCCGGGTAATGAAAGGTTTGCAAGAAAAGAACCAAGCTCAGAGAACCCCAAGGACTCCACATATCATTAAAAGCTTATACAACATGTCATGTCCACTTTATAGATGGAATAGCACTGCACCCAAAGGTTAAATTTTCTTTTTCTTCAAGTTCATGTTTTAACTTGATGTATCAGTCAGTCTATGATATCTCAGATTTGTTGGCACTCCACCTCTCTTTTACTATCTGTACCTTATTTTTCTTTCATGGGATTTGTATCATCATTTTCTAATATTTTAAAAAATAAATAGCAAGTTAAAAAAATTAATAAACGACATTGACCCAACTTCCTTGTTTTGTGTTTAGGTTGTACCTTCTGTCTTTTGGAAAGATCCTGGTAGGAAGGAAAGGAGATTTTTTTTACAGCAAGAGGTAGCATATTGTCTAATGTGGGTCCTCCCCATGGAAAAGTTGGTGCGTAATTCATTTCTGAGCTTTACTCCATTTGTCCCAGGATCCTGCCTTGCAAAAAAGTTCTACTTTGTTTTGCATGCATGAGGAAAGAAAACTTTTTGAAGGGATGCAGGATTGTTATCTTTTTTTGAGGGGGGGAGGGTGCTGTTATGTCAAAGGATAGCTGGGGAACATCAAATTCGTAGGGTATACTGTGAACCTTGTGAGGTAGTCAAGATAAGAAGCACACCCAAAAGTACCGGCTCTAAGTGTATTGTAAGTTTACATTAATAGTCTTGCAAGTCTGAAAGTACATGTTTCCCCCCTGACTTTTACAGTCCAAGAAACTAGGGAGGGTCCCTTCTGAGACATTTACCACGTCCCCCTTCCTTCTGAGGACTTAGCTGTTGCTTATCTGACTGTTTCCCTGGCTTTGGCTCTTCCCCGTGTCTTCCATGGTGATTCCCACATACCATTACAGATGGGTATCAATGACTCTGTCTTATCCCCACTGTGAAAACTAGATTTGTATAGATGTGTCCTGAAAAGGGGATTTGGATGAGGGTCACTGCAAGCAGATGTGCAAGTTGTGCACTGCAATAAGGTGCCATGACATGCGGGGAGGCGTCAGATTAAGCGTTAAATATTAATTCTCCCTGGAATTGCCAACTGCGTGTGTTCGCTTTTGTCATTTTCCACTTCTGAAACGAGCGCTGTTTATGAAGTCAGAGAAGCCATTCCTGTTGTGCAATCTCAAAGTATTAGTGCCAAACTTCCTGTCTAGTCTTAACCACAGACCCGTTTCTCAATGACAAAAATTAGCTAATGAAATTATTAAGGGGAGGGGCGGCAAAAAGCTTTTTGCACAAAGGCGCCTAATAGGTCGGCAGCGGTTCTGATTCATATACTGAGGAAGGGGTTGGGCTGGATGCCCTCAATGGCCCCTATTCAAAACTATACTTCCATAACTTGAACTGAGCCAATCAATCATCTGTGACGAAAGGAACAACAGCATCGTAAGATCGTGTACCCAGTAGAACAGTCAGTCTCCACAGCTCTTTACCTCTCTGGCTGGGAACCATGGGAAGTACAGTCCCTAGGCATCTGGAAGGCCCCATTTCAGGACAAAATCATTCCAACCACCCAGGGGGCCTTTGTCCTTGGGGGCCCGTTCCCTCCACTGCTTTTATCAGTCGCATTATTATTATTTTCATTTGTTTTTTAAGAAAAGAGCGCCCCCTCAGGAGCCCTCTTCTTTCCCGCTCTGAAAAACGGTCTCCAAGTGCCAGCGGAGGCGGGGCTGAGGAACGGGTCTGCTCCGAAGGGCGCATGCGCGGCTCTGCCCGGCATTGTGGGAGGAGCCCGCGGGGATTCCCTTTTTCTAGGCGGCTTTTACCCTGCGCGCGCCCTCCGCATTTGTTTCCTGGCTCGGAGCGGGGTGGTAAGTTTGCTGCGTGAGCCGAACTCGCCTTTTCTGCCAGCCGGGGGTGAACGGCGCTGCTTTTCTTTTTTTGTTTTATTTGGCTGCCAGTCTGCGCCCGATGATTGAGAGGCGAATGAAATGAAACTAGAGAAATGGTTTCGTTTTCTGCGTTGGGGATGGGCGAGTGATTCGGAGGAGCTGCTCCGTATAAAAAGTTGGGGGTGCCAATTGGTTTTCGTTTGTTTCTGATGATGATGGTGATAATAAAGCCAGCGGATGTATTTTAGGTGGCTCAAAAAAGCCTGAAATGGCTAAAACTGAATCGATGTAGGTCACCCGTTGTACGAATCCTGGCTTGTTGAATAAATCACAGTTCGCTCGGTTTGCACGACACAGCATTTCGGCGTAGTGCGATATCGGTTTCCAGGCACAGTTTTCCGTGTACTTTTGCACGAGGCAGAAATACTGGAATATTGAAATTGACCGGCCGCCAGTTCACATCGAAGAGAGGGAGAGAAAAATGTGGCTCACTGGGGAATAGCTAGAACACGGTGCCCGCTGACTGTAACGGACTTTGAAATAGCTTATAGATGTGCTTTTGTAGTGCCTACGGGGAAGTGCAAGAAGTCTAGACCCTGAAAGAATGAAAGGATCTGCCCGTCTAGGTAATGGTGGGATAAACCGAACCCGGGAAAATCAAATCAAACATCAGGCGAGAGGGCTTCCCGCCAGATGAGGTTTTATAAGGAGACCCCTCGGGTCCAGTTGGCGTTGGGGTTTCGTCTCGGAAAGAAGCAACGGGGAAAAGCATTCGCCCGGCTGGCAGCAACTAAATTCACTAGATCTGGTGAATTCGGAGGGCAAGTTGAGATCTGTGAAGATAGGAGCAGGGTGAATGTGTGAACTTGCTCTGGCGATTGCATGTAGGCGAGAGAGCAGCTCCGCCCTGGAATGAGAGGGCCGAGCCTCAACCACTCCCGAAAACCATCGTGCGTTCTTTCTTTCCAAGTTTCTTCCAGGTCTCCGAGCTTGTCAGAACCCTCTCAATCCATGACTTGCACTGCTAGTTCGCTTGCTTCGTTTCTGCCATTACGGTAGAGGGGGAGGAAGGGAGAGAAGGTTGGGATGTTAACCGTTAGGCGCAGATGGGCCATTATCTGCCTCTCAGGAATGCCCAAGGTGGTGCCAACGTGGGAACCGGAGAGAATCATGCACAAGAGAGATTCTTGACAGAAGGGGGGGGTGGAATGGGAGTGAAGTAAAACTTAAGTTTTGGCGTGCGCGGGCCTCAGTTCCAGCTATGCTTCTAGAGCTGTTCGCTACATCCCAATAAATGAACTTTCCTTTGAACCTGCATTGGTTTCAATGAGAGTTGCTTTCATTGG